CGTCCCCACAAACGCTCTGCAGAACCGTCTCCTCCACGAACCCGATAAAAACCTAACAGAAGCCAACAAAAGCACAGAACACAGGATTGAGGGTGTCGTAGAACAACATAGCCAAATTTCCGTCCCCATAGTATGGTTCGAGTAGTCCGAAAGGTTCGCCGGGCTGAGAAAAACGTGTTACACGTGGCTAGGGAAATTGTGATCCCAAGGAGGGATTTTGAGGGCACAGAAGTAGGGAGGGAAACGATTTGTATTGAATAGAGCATGGGGAGAGCCGAGGAAAGTGATAGCTTCATCAATAGAAAGCTTAACTTCTAGATTGGCAGGCGATATGATAGGAAGAAATTAGGCTACAGTTATCTATCAACTTGCTTCCTAAGAACGGCCGACAAGATTAATAAGCTCTGAGGACGTGACTGCCATCACATTTTTCAGCTTTTCCCACCAACAATCCAACATTTCAAGTTCTAAAGGCTCTGCAGCCACTAACCCAATTGCGTGGGAAGAAAACTTGAGGTTACCGTTATTCTCCTTCTCTCAATTACGTTATTGGTTGTAACTTAGAGCGTTTAGAATTTTGAAATTATTAAAATTCTTCTGGCGAACGTGTTGAACCGCTCGAACCGTATCCAGTTCTATCCAATTTCAGCGGTTTCTACGTTTTTCTGTCATTTCGTGTAAAAGCAAATTTTGAGTCATCTGAAGCTATTGTTTTGGTATGAACTAAATATGAACAGTAAAGATACAATGGAACTGGTTATGCTAAACGTATGAAAGCGGAAATTATCTCAATCACGCCCCGGGGGGTATAGGGGTCTTGTCACTAAGTGCTCTTTTGAGCAAGGGGAAAAGTGTATCAATGTTTGGATCCGGGGGAGGGAACACTGAAGTCTTGGGAACCATTGGATTCCCTTGATATACCTATCGGGTGTGAGGCTATGGGGTATCGTGGTGTAGGAGCGCGGGTATGAATTGTCTTGATTAGGCACTTAGTGATGGGTTGTTGTTTTTACACCTTATGCCGGTAGGCATAGGGTACCGGTGTTATTTCATACTATCTGCTGCCCAGCGTCTGGCGTTTGGTTTGGTTTAGCTTGTTCAATGTCATTCAGCGTAGAGCATTAGGTTTAGGGATCGGTTTTCGACAAAGGAGTATGGCAATATGATGACTTGTCACGGGCGATTGTGGAGTTCGCTGGTCGATGGGGGATTGTTTATTTTTTTCGGAGTTTCCGCTGGGTTCCTCTCATTGCGGGAATGCTTCTATGCGTTCCGTTTATTTATTCATTTTTCACGTTCAGCTGCGCTTGCCCTATAGTGATCCTGCTCTCACCGCTTCGCCATTTAGTTCTCTCTACATGTTTCTTTATGAATGTATGCTCAAGTGCCATCTTCCAATACTCAGTCTTTCCCCATCATGTATCACCAATCTCGATCACCGCGGCAATCTACTGGTATCAGGGATGAGTGAGAGTGGCATCGCACTCCAGTTCCAATGTCAACCTCCAAGGTGTGTGCAAAGGCAAAAGAAGGACAAAACTATCCATTCTACCGAAAAACGCGGTCTGATTCGCTCATCTAAAGCATTAGCAGAAAGGAGGAACTGTGCTCAATAAGAACCTCCAGTCACCGTAGATTCCCTCTCTATCCGTGGTCCATCACGGCACTGAAAACGAGAGAAGGCCACCCAGAACCCCATTAGCACTCGCACAGTCAAGCACTTCCTATCCTTAACGGTACTGAGTGTGGTCTCTTTCACCCTGCCGCTCTGATTACATGAAATCAGCCAGCATCAACATTTGTCAGCAATCCTCCCACGTGCTCGGAATTTACCTTTAACTTTGTGTATTTCCTTATCGATCACTTTCCACACCCGGAGGTGTTTTGTCAGGCACGGGTCTACGGTATTACCGGTGGTGGATAGGTTTCTCTACGGGATTGCGGGTTGGCATCACTTCTTCCCTTGCTCTGTGATCTCTATGGGAATTGCCGACGGTTCACGGGGTCTACGGAATGGTCGAGGGGAAGATTGATACGGCTTGCCGGTCGGTCTGTCGAGCCCAACCTCGCATTGAAGCTAGTGTTTAATAACGTCCTGAGGCGCATTTTCCTGGAGGCGTGCTGCATAACTGTTGGTATCTTATGCGTTGGGTTGGGGTTCTCGTGACATTATGATGGTATCTTGGCGATATCTGCGCATAACAAAGACCGTGGGCTGAAAGCGTGACGGCGGAGGTGCGGGTTTGCAACCCGGAATCAAATCATCACCCGTGACATGAAGAGCAGCTTATTACCGATATGACCTGGGGTTATTGGCGTGGACTTTTGAAAACTGTCGATCCGGGGTCAGTTATACCGATGCCAACACTCAAAACTTAATTTCCACCCGGACCACCCAGCGCTCTGTGTTGGAACATGGCCAATGCTCCCCTCCCGTTGGCAACCCCAACGCCCTTCTAGAAGCACCAATGTTATATATGTCGCCAAACTTATCGCTTCCGCAACAACGACCCGCCAAGCGAGCTCCCGCAGTTTCCCATTCTCTCTCCATCCCAAAACAATTAGGTATAATAGTTGTGTGGCACGGGGGGGGGAACCTCAGGTTCAAACCCAAGTGATTTTCCCCGGATTCCATCCATCCATCCATCCCCTCCAAGGCGCAGATCATGGCTATTCGAGGAATCACACATAGCATAACACAAAATATCACTCGTTACCAACCCCTGAAACCAACCAACATCATCTGGCTCTATGACGTCCCGCCTGAATTCTTCCTCTTCTCCCAAGGCACGTGCCGTTTTTCCCAACAACCAACCACCTCTTGTCCCAACATTGTCTTTTCCGTACTGGTACTCGAGTGGTGGTGACCTTGTGACTGAAGATCACGTTAATTGGTAAATAAAGAGCGTGATGGGTGAAGCTACTTTTGAGTTGGTACAAGTACTGGAATCGGCATTTGCCGGTATTGCTCCAACATGAAGATTTTTCTTCTTCTTCTTCTATGGTCCTACCGACGGGAAAGGGAAGGCGAGTAAATTTACGGCACATTAGAGGAAAAACCTCATACGGCCGAGAAGAAGAAGAGGGAGATAGCTTGCTGGGTCACTTGCGTAATATCGGGCAGGAATAATCTGGAAGAGAATTGTCACAACTCTTTTTTGCCCCATTGTTTCTGCGCGGTCTGGGTTAAATGTAGTGGTGGTGGTGGGGGTAGCCTAAAACCTGGAAATGGGGAATAAATCAACTACCGGAATGGGGTTTTTTGTCGCGCTATGGAGCCGAAGGAAGGAAGGGGAAACTCCGTGAGAATAGATACGCTCAAGGAAATTCCTTGCTCTCGCGCCTTGCAGGAGTGGAAAGATTCCCACGTATATGATGTAGCAATTTTTCTCGGTTGGTGGGGTACTATACTCTACAGCACGCATTTCTGAAAAGAAAAGGAAAAAAAAGTCTATGTTCGGGAAGTAGAGGTAAAAGGGAGTTGAGGCCAGCCAGTCAGTATTCCTCCCTCGAGGCGCTGAGGAGACTTTGCCAGGCACAGAGAGCCAGCTCGGATCAAATCCCGCCACCGATTATAGACTCCCTCCTATCGGTTGGACAGGAAAATCCCCTCGCTTTCTTTCGAGGCTGGATTGACTCAGACATTTCGTACTACTGGTGTTATTCCCATAGTGAGGCTATGGTAATGATCGAGGCCGCGTACTGTTCGTACTCCTACAGCTCGTACAGGGGGCGTGAAGTGGCCGAACACAAGGGGGAAGAATTTGTATAGTATGGCAAATTATTTGTGCTCATCTGGGCTCCCCTGCTGGGTTCAGTTTCACACCGGGTACTTGAGCTGTAGGAACGTATGGGTTTAGAAGGAGTTTGCCCTCGAATTTTTGTAAGCTATCATACAGGCATAGTGTTAGAAGGTATGTTGCAGAAGTGGTCTTGATGAGATGAAAACGATGATATGCATGTAGTTATTGTCATTCAAAAACGTCATTCCTCGGACAGACAACCTAGGCCTGTGCTGCGTTGAGTACTGTACGTAATCCTCAATGCAGATATCCCATCCAGTGTGTAAGCGACGCCGCACTCCGCGGTATAGTTCTAAGCCCAACCACACTCCCGATCTCAATTCCATATGCATATCAACTCTTCTAACACATAGCTGTACTCGTACAAGCTTTTTGGGCAATGAAGTTGGTTGTGGGAATGGTTTGGGAATTCTGAATGCTGGTGCTTTGATTCCTGAGAAATCGATTAGCCTTGTTATTCACCCTTAACCAGAAACGGCCGATATAGACGCCCCATAACCACGTAGTGGGATCCCATGAAGTGGGCCACACATACCTTCCCCCAATTTTATTTCTCATGTCCGTGAGGACTTCTATATTACAAACCAATAGGTTAAAAAAAAAGAAAAGCCGCAGATAAAAGAAATAGAGAAAAACGCCTCTCCTCAAAGCTTAAACCCCCCAGTCTCCAAGGTCTGGAAAACACCCTCAGGATCTACTTCTTTCCCAATCTTGCGCAAGCCAGCTCTACTAGCACTCCCATAACCCCCCAAAACATCCTGATCCTCTCCAGCGTCGTTCATGAATAAGAAATCCCTGGAAAGGCCCTTCGCGCGTGCTGATCTAGCGATCTTTTGAACGCCGCGTTTGCAGGCTTTTGTTGCAGGCTCATCGTGGGTAGAGTTTTCCCAGGCCGCGGCGAAATTGACCCCTGCGTTTTATTAGTATCGGGTTAGGGAGCGGGGCGGGGGAGGACGAACACATCATATTGGTGTTTTCCGGGAGGCCGAGGGCGTTCCCACCCGTTTTGATGGAAGCTGCAATCATACTTGGAGATATTGGCTGCGCGACGAAGATCAACATTGCCCCGGGGTAATTTGCTAGCTCTCCGGAGGTGTCTGTGGCGATTGAGAGAATGTCTTGGTACATGCCCTTATTCATGTCCACTGTCGTCGTGTAGAAATTGAATCTGTCATATTCCTTACCGTTAGACACCGATTATTTTCCCTCCCTTTCTCGAAAGACATACCGATTAGCGGCATCCCCAACCAACCACTCATCGTGAAATTCCACAAAGCTCTTGGACCCCATACTCGATGCCACATGTGGTAGTTCCTCGAAAGGCGCAAACGCTGCCGGGGAGCTACCAACGTTCTCGGCGTACATGAGCGTTACTAGCACCACCCCCGCGTTTAGAATAAACTGAACGGATATGGCGGACTTGAGGTCTGAAATGTGCTCTGCATGGTAGGCGTGAATTGCGTCCATTACCGCTACGGCTTGGGTTGCATTGTAGGTTATTACCCCACCCCAGATTTTGGACATCGGGATAGTCTTTAAAGTGAAGCGGGTTACAATGCCTGCGTGTGGACAATTGGTTAGTTGGTGGGTAGGGGGCTGGGGAAGAGGGGGTGGGGTACCGAAGTTACTGGTTCCGCCCTTCAGTGCCCAGTATAGCTCAGGGTGAGCATCCGCGTTTGCATTCACGATAGTGCCGTTTGCGAGTACCACCTTGTGAAGTTGAATCCATGTCCATATAACAAGAGATGAAGAAAGTCGGGAAAGAACAAACTAACCTCATATTCAACAACGTTATCGCACCCAAACCCGTACTCATTCGAGACGTGCGATAAACCCCCTTCACCGCATCCACCATTAGCCCCTCACATTCGTGATCCGCAAGAACATCTAATCTCACCACCAAGTAAAAATCCTCCAACACCCACTGGCGATACCCTTGCCCCAACCGCTGTTCTCCCATACGCCTCCAGCGCAGAATAAACGCCCCCCCAGCGACTTCCTGTGCCAACAACCACATTGGTGTTCGCAGGATCATAAGTAATTTCATTGATCCGGCTCAATTCGACGAGAACTCCCCCTTCGATGTTTGCCCACCCCAGGTTAGGAGAATGGCCCCCGCTACGGACGGCGAAGGGTGCGCCGGCTGCGGTTATGGCTTTTAGGGCTGAGGATACCTCGGCGGCGGAGCGGGGGGATAGGATGCATTCCGGGGTTGCCCAGGCGGAGTGGTCGCTGAGTGGGTTCGTTAGTATTTCGCCCTGGAGGTTGGGGGGAGGGGAATACAAATTTATCGTCCGCAGATATTCGAATTCTGGATCTGTGGATATATAGCTATACCCCCAACCCGTGATTCGAGAATCCAAACAGGCTATTTTTGCCGGTGAAAGGCGGAGGACAGTGCTTTCGGTGTTTCTAGAATCAGCGGGTTGGAAGGTTTGGGACAATAAGAGGAGGAAAAAGGTTGTTAACGGTGGTTTTAGAAACATCTTAGAGAAGTACAAGGTAATAACCAAAGTAGAATTGGTGTATGTATGGAAAAATTTATTTTCTTCCGGGAGGAATTGAAGTCTCGTTTATTTTATTTTTACTTGCTTGGGACTTGAATTTTTTGAGACTCCTATCGGGCGCTTATATAACCACGAGTACAGTACAATGCCACCCCATGAGGCAAGGAGCTGGATGGAGTCCCAAGTGGGGTTCCCATCCATCTAGACTCTGCGTCAATCTACCGGCAACATTGGCAAGCGAAGGTGGTTAATTGTGAACTTACTATAATAGCTCGACTACCGAAACCTCAACTCCCAAGTAGAAAGGTGAGGGAAGGCAATCCCATCCTCTCCCGGCACATATAGTGCATCATTCTAGTCATAGGCGAGAAGATGGAATGGGTTGGTATTGAGTGACTGATTGGGTTAGGTGGTATGTACTCGAGTAGTCACAGTCTGTGACATGCTTCTGGGCCCTGTCTGTCGGTCACAAGAGGTCCCGTCAACGCAAAATCACTCAGACTCTCCCTCCTAATTAGAGGTGACAACACTCTTACCTCACTGCTAGTGGAATTTCTTTTGGCTTGAGGAGAGCTAAGGGTTTGCTGACTTTTCCGCCCGTTCCATTTAGGGAAGGGACTTAATAAGTCCTGTGATATGGATAGCAACTACTCGAGTTGGATAGCTACTTTTGGAAGGAGAAATGACGATTACTCGAGCAACATGCTGGGCGGGGACTTGTGCAACCGGGACCCAAATACCCTTGCACTCGAGCTCAGTAGGGTAGTCTACTCCCACCACCGTCCACAGCACCTCTGCCTCCATTTTCTGCGCAGCTGTTGGACAATCCAGAAGAAACCGGAGATGTCATCGTGGCATATTTGGGAATTGAGGGATTTATTACCCTTTCGTACTCGTGGGTCGGGGGTTGGGTTTGTGTTTCCTCGTTATTCTGAGGTTAGTCTACTGGCCGCAGCAGGGAACATAGAAGGGACTCCGGGTTCTGCCATTTGAGGCTCTACAAGTGCGCTCTAGCAGAGCAACAAGTGCTAGGATCACATCGTGAAGAAGGAGGGAAAACATTCTGTATCTCTTCGTGACAATTCCCAATTTCAATTCCATTAAACCCTCTCCAGTTGAATATCGCGGGTATACAGGTACCCAAGAGAGAGTTTGTGAACGGTTAATTAGGTTAACCTACAAAATAATCCCCATCTCGTGGGAAAACATCACCCCGGGTACAAGTACTTGTATACCTCAATTAGTCATCCTAGTTGTTCCTATCTCAAACCCATCCTCATCCCACCTTGCAGTACTGTACCACAGCCCAGTCCGCTGGAACGCGTAGGACACCGAACCAAAGAATTATTAACACTTCCTAATGTCCAGATATCATAAGCAGGTCGTACAAGTAACATACGTCTCATCAAGGGGCTGAACGCCGAGAATCCCCAGGGAAAGCTGCCGTGAGAACCCGAATAAACAGACCATGTGCTACGTATAACCTGATTTTCATTCTATCATACTAACAATCCACCTAACTAAACCTATCGCTGTGTAGTTCAAAATTTCCCCCCCTGGAAAAGGGGCGAAAAACACACCAAAGACTTGTTTCCGAGACAAATAAAAAAGAGAGAAAATACCAGACCGTACTAGGAGAGGCAGCTCCAATGCCCTAACACATGATCCGATTGTTCGCCTTCTTACATACAGTATCATACTTGCACCGGCCGCGAGTTGAAAACTTGACCCGAAACCCTGCCGGCGACCACAGCAGGTCTCACTACCCCCAACCGTACTTGTACTTGTACTTGTATTGGACCGTTGCGTATTTGGCTTACTTTTGCTTTCTTTTGTGGCTTTTACTACCGTAGGTTGATTCTTTGATGTAAGACAAGGGGAGAAAATCAATCGTAGCAAAGAAGGTTTTTAGCCATACTGGACCCTCTGCAGACAAGCCGCAGTCGATGTACTCGTGCCGGATGCCTTCATAGAGCAGTTATCTGCGAGCCGATAAACGCGTAGTGTAGAAGATGCCAAGCGGAGTGATATAGTTATGCCGGAGGAAAAGGTGGCTTTGTACACAATTCATGACAGCTAGCTATTTGTATCTCTTTTGATATATCTCTAATCCTACACTCAAGGACTATACCCATAAGCGACAGGATGCGAGCACTAGATAAAAGGGAGCTGGAATAGCACTTTGACTTCCTCTCCTCAAGAAAGCAGAAATTCTAATGCTCAGGTGGGATACAAATATGGTATGTGCAAATGGCTATTGTTCATGCTCTAAATCACTATGTACGATGTACTAGTACGGTACCGTATCTGAGAATTAGTAATGTCTCGGAGCATACCCAATCCTGCCCGTTTATTCGCTCGCGAATAGATACCCCATGAGGGTGCCCAGCTTCATATTCGACCGTGAGAGTTGTTTGACGCTACTTGAGGCGAGAAAAAGTACCATACAAGTACTGTACTCGAGCATCAGAGTGTGCATACTAGAATCTTGAAGATCTTGGCTGCGGAGCGCCGGTGCAACATATACGAAATTCCGCAGAGCTTTTGTTTAGCCATCCAGACACTTATTCTCACCACAATCACGGTATGATCAGTTTTCCATAGAGTGTTGAGTAATTCTAGCCCTGGAAAGACTAAAAATCCCAGTTTCTGGCCAAGGTCAACTAACTGTTACCAGATCTAGCCTTAGCGCGCCTAAAGCCGAATCTGGCTATCCCAGACCACCGAGGGATAGCAGCTAAGCCAATAAATCCTCAGGCACATTTCGTCCAACTTTTCGGGATTGTTGCCACTTTAGAAACTGCTGAGGAACGAGGAAAGAGTTGAAAAAAAAATCCTTCTTACTGCCTTAAACGTACTCTACCTCAGGCTGTTACGGCAGAATTACGCCTAGATCAGGGAGCGATTGTCGGGTGTATGATACATTGGAGCTTCCAACTGCTCCTAGAACCCCATCTAAGGACAAATCTTTGCCCGAAGTGGTAAATTTTCTTTCTTACCCCTTCTGCAAATGCCTGCATGTTTCTAGGACACAAGGACACAAAAAAAACTTGAATTTCCCTCCTTCCTCAAGAATTTCCAAAGACGCAATAAAGGCCCGGAATAAGCACGCTTGTCCTTTTCTCTCCCCTCCTCTTCTGGGGTATCCGTGGCTGTTCCGGCCGCTCCCGCCGCTAATCCCGGCGGCGCGTCAGTCCCTGGTGCACGGGAGCCCGGCGATAGGGAGTAATATAGAAGAGAGGAGGGGTTCCATGTCGCGCGCTTGAGCACAAACTCCCCCTGTGACCGCATGCCGGTTCGGCGGTGTCGGGATAATATATTTGATTGAACCCCTTGGAGCGGACGATGTCTGTGAAACCACCAAAAGATTCATTACGTAGGCTGGGATATGTCACGCTTAATGTCACCAATAGTAGAGACTTACGGGCTCGAATTAACATGTGAGACACCCGGCGCATATCCTGTTCTGGAAAAATCACTGCTAGGGTTTTGTCTACGTCTGGGAATCGTGGATGGGGATGTTCTCGGTTTTTCTGTTCTCGTTTTTATTTTTATTTACCTGCAAGCTACATGGCAAGACATTGGGTGTCAGTCAGCAGGGTGCTATCCCCGTTGTTGGGTTGTGGCCCGAAGCGTGATTCATGGTGAATTTACTTTGGGACGGTCCATGATATGGAATTGAAGGACCTGAGTCCCGGGGACTTGTGTCGATTCGGTTTTCTATGATAGATGCGGACCCTCCACATGATCCAACAGTGGAATGAAAGAAGAAAAGAGGGTTAGGGGTGAAGCTACTATTATGCTGCTCGTCGGGGCCAAAGTCTGGACGGGTCCTCCTCCAACCCTGCTCAGCGGGGTTTCTATGCAATTCTGATCCCGGGGTTCTGAATCACAGATGATTTTTTTGCAGGTCTTCAGGACCCCTCTGAATAGATAACTATGACTTACACCGCAGGTGGCAATTACAGGAAGCAGGTCCGTAAAGGGTCGCCGACCAATATGACGACATTTCTTCACCGACCGCTACTTCCCCTTGCGGTGTCTAGGATAGTAAAATTCGGTACTAGGTGCACTAAGGCTAGATTGGGTAGCAGTTAGTTGTACTTGGTTAGAAAATAGTATCTTTCAAGTATCATATCCAAATGGCCTAGCGCCCGGGATCAACTTAAACATTCCCAGCAAAGTAGATTACTCCAATTCTCCCAGTCTGGGATTAGCGTTCCGGGAAATGAATTTGACTTTTTCGGGTGGCCCGAGGGATATCTTGGTCGGATCGGTGAACTTCGAGCTAGTAAGTTAGGAGGGCACTGTATTCAAGTCGCCGGGTGGAAACTAGGGCTTTTTTTGGTGGCGATGCACAGAGGAAAACACAACTTCGATCTTGCAATTTGGGTATTTTCCCTATAATTTGACTTCTCGGGGTTGTGTTGTTTCTACAGGATGCTTTTGTATAAAGTTGATGGGGATTGTGAGCAGCATGCCCAGGCTACGATGAAGCCATCTAGTGCGGTGCCGATACTATATCATAGATGGCCCACTTTTCCCCAATCGGATAGTATCTTCTTTGCTACAACTGTGCTGGAAATAGCCCGAAAGCTACAGTGCTCTAATATGAGATGTAGTATGATATTAGGCTACTAATTCCTGGCTAAGAGTGAGATGCGCTGAGGGAGAGAACTATGGCGTGAAGAGATAGCTATAAAGGAGTCCTAGCCCCCGGCGGTGTTAAAGATATCTCTCCGGACTACTTCGTCCTGCCAAGGGATGTTCTGCAATTTCTCTTTGCAAAGGCTTTGCTCTTGCGGTATGAGGAATTGGTGAGGAGAATGAGCCACAGCTAATGGAGGGGCACGTCTTCGATGCAAACAGAGTTCCTGTCCTACTAAAATCCGCCTGGGAAAAACTCTACCTTTACGAGATGGGCGTTCTCACTCAATCGGGTGTTAATCACTATATATCACTCGAAAAGTGCAAGACTT